AAAAATAATTTACGAATTATAGTATACTAATTATAAATTTATTAACAATTACAATAATCATAAGTTTATAATTTGTAGATAAATTGTAGATAATTTATGAATAAAATGCAAAGTAGATACAAATGCAACAATACATAAAAGTAGATATAAATACAACAATATATAAAATATATAAAACATATATAATATATAAAATATATAAAATATATAAAACATATAAAACATATATAATATATATAAAATATATAAAACATATATAATATATATAAAATATATAAAACATATATAATACATATAAAACATATATAATACATATAAAACATATATAAAATATATAAAACATATATAATATATATAAAATATATAAAATGTATAAAACATATGATATATATAAAATATATAAAACATATATAATATATATAAAATATATAAAACACATAAAACATACATAATATATATAAAATATATAAAACAGTCATAATATCTAATGAATGAAACAAACCCAGGTTTTAACCCAGGTTTCCTTCAATTATGTCAACTCACATAGACATCCGAATTGTGCAATTGTGAAACACGCTTTAACATTATACACAAATGGACCAAATTTTCAATACTTTACTCATATAGCCTCCACCACTCTTCGACAGACTCCAACAAAATCTTCGAGAGCCAGAATTAAAAGAAAAAAAAAAAAAAAAAGGTGAAAGAAAAGTCAAATTTCCTCTCGTTCCAATCTGCCCACGTAATTCCCGATGGTTAGGCATGCACGCCACGAGCGTGAGGCGGGGGCGCGCGAGCGAGAGCGATTTGGTGACATCAAAGTTTAATAAGCGCCATAAGCCGATCCGAAACTGCGGCTAAAACTCGCCGAGCAATAAAACCGGCAATAAAGCGTTCGCCTTTCTCGCGTCACGTGGACGAGAGAGAGAGAAAGAGAGCGAGGGGGTTGAAAGGAGGGAGGTGGCTCGCTTGCATGGTGGTTAACCGAAAGGTTAGAAGGGCGGGAACGCATTAGCGGTGGAAGGTGGCGTGCTCATAGAGACGTCCGGTCGCCCAATTACTCCCGCATTAAATCAATGTTCCTACGGTCCTGGACCATTCCCCAGCATCCCGGTAATAAACCGTGGCGAACATATCTGCACGACTTACGGCTCATCCCTCCGCGCCGCGACGTCGCGCTAGGGTGAGGCCGGTACGCTCGAGAAATGTGCTCTCTGTCGTAATATTTGGCTTTAAATCATGTTCCCGCTGACAGGCGCCCAACTCTCTTCCTCGCACCTTCTGATTCATCGCGCGACACCACGCGCGACTCCGTCATCTCGATTCTCTCTGTCTCTCTCTTTTTCTCTCGTTTCTCTTTCATTTCTCTCGCTCGTTTCGTCTCTCTTTTCTCCCCTTCTCGGTCGTGGTTCGACAATTTTCAGTTTTGCGGAGTTAAGAACGAGGCGACGGGTGTTTTTTATTGAATTTTTTCTCTTTTCACGTCAGAGGAGACGCAGTTTATTTTTTCTTTTTTTTTTTTTTTTTTCTTTTGGAAGTGTTGTGGCGTATGAGCGAGACAGCTGTAGTGTAGGAATCATCAGATTGATTTATCGTAATCTTTTTTTTTTTCTTGATTAATTAATCACGTGTCTTGTGTTGTTTAGTTTTCTTTGTTTCTTTTGAATTGCTTAGCAGCTACGTCGATCTGTTTGATAAATTAGAGATTAGATTTAATCTTAGTGAGATTGTTGGAGATTAGTCTTTGGAATTAATTTCTGGGTGAAATAATATGTTTACTATGCTTGGTACACACAAGTAAGAAGAATCTGTAGATATATATTCTTATATATTTATATAATAATATGAATATAGATATAAAAAAATAATGTAAATAATAAATGTATTATAAATAAATTTTTACTCAATAAATAAAAAATAATGTCTAATACCTAATTGAAACCTAAACTATCTAAACTATCCAAATTTAACTTATATATATAAACTATCTAAACCTAACTTATATACTTATATATATATATATATTTAATTTATATATATAAGTTAAATTTGGATAGTTTAGATAGTTTAGGTTTCAATTAGGTATTAGACATTATTTTATTTATTGAATAAAAATTTATTTATAATATTTATATTATTTTTTTATATTTATATTTATATTATTTATATTTATTTATAATATATTTTATTTATTAGATTCGTTTGTATCATATTGTTAGATGCGTACGTAAGATAGGACGATTGATTTATAAAAGTAGCTCTTCCCGTCAATAATAAAGATACTATTGTACATATGTTATAAAAATGTATAGTTAATAAATAAATATATAGTTCGATCTTGTGTTTAAATCAAATGATATTCTCGCTTGTCTGAACTTAAAACTAAAGATTTCGAATGTTATAGCTACTACAATATTATGGCTGCCAGCTAGAAACAAATGAACACTCGTGCGTTTTTCTAAATACACCGTTAATATCAAAACTGTGTCGAAGGAACGTGCATTATGAAATTATCTTAACTGAAAATATAATAGTTCTATGTTAAAAGAACATCAGAACTGTCGAAATCAGGAGTTTAAGTTCAAAATCCACGTTGATTTGCTACATATATCGAAAAATACAATTGAGTGAGTTATAAACAATGTTGTTTTTTTTCAAATTTATCATAAATTTATGTTAGTAAAGTGTTTATGTTAGTAAAGCTGCATGTTAATCGCGAGTTCATAAAATTACGAAATTAATAAAAAATTGGTCGGTGCAACTTTATTCAACAGATTTATTCTACTTTCAAAATAATGACAAACCTCGCGAGGAATCGTTCTCACAAATCACCGATTTCGATCACGTGTGATAGTTCCCGAAAAGAATTGTTTCAAGAATTTGAAACTGAAAATACGAGAAACACATGGGGAATATTTTCTATACAAACTACGTCGATCAAGTCGATGATCAAATGAAATTCGACAGGTAGAAGAAGTAAGCTTCAGCGTCGACTCAATTCGCGTCTGATTTCCAAAAGCGAAAGCCAAGAGCTTCCAATTGTGAAAGATTAAACTGGAAGTGCAGGATGTTCGAGAAGGAGCGACTGGATTAAAAAGCTTGAGAACTTTTTTTTCGAGGGTCTGGCCGCTACTCGTCGAAGTCAAACGAAGTGAAGTCTATGGCCGCGTTCAACCGTGAGATTAGCCTCGCGCACAATTTACGACGGCGATCTTATTCACAGCTCGGCTTTCATGTAAAAGCTTTTCCCTGTAAGCTGCGATACGTTCTTTCGAGTGTCGAGACTGGCATATGGAGGGGGAGGGGGAGAGGGCTTATGGTAGCCAAGATCATACACCATAACAAATTAATACAATCGATATTGTCACGTGTTCATTCAAAAAATGAAGTATCAAATCGTTGCCGATGTGAATTTCATTTCTTCGAACTGCTTCTTTGCGGGATGATTTTCAATAATTATAAGTCAATATAATTATATTTCAATTATATTATATTGCATTATACTATATTATATTATATTATATTGTATTATATTATATTGTATTATACTATATTATATTATATTATATTATATTATATTATATTATATTATACTATATTATATTATGTTGTATTGTATTGTATTGTATTGTATTGTATTGTATTGTATTGTATTGTATTGTATTGTATTGTATTGTATTATATTATATTATACTATATTGTACTATATTGTACTATATTGTACTATATTATACTATATTGTACTATATTGTACTATATTGTACTGTATTGTACTGTATTGTACTATATTGCACTATATTGTACTGTATTGTATTATGTTGTATTGTATTGTATTGTATTGTATTATATTATATCATATTATATTGTATTATATTATATTATATTATATTATATTATATTATATTATATTATATTATATTATATTATATTATATTA